GGACTTTGATGTGTTGTCTTTTACGATGTTGTCTCGTTAGCGATTGGACTGCTTTATCGAACACTAGCTGGCATTTCCGGTCTTGCCCAGTTCATGAGCCATGAAGCCAGAGAAAGGACGGGGAGCGCAAGAAAAATCTGTTCTCTCTAAACCCGTCCATTCATCTCTCATCCCGCTTCCATCTGCTGCTTCCTGCACCTCCCTTCTCTTTCCTTTCCCGGTAAGGAAACCTATATCATCTGCAGGGTGCATTTTGATTGCAAAGGCCCACCTCAAAGCAACAGTGGGAGTAGTAATGCGACCCAGCCGCCCCAAGAGTAGCCTAAAACCATCTACACGGTCGAAAACATATGTGTGCAAAGTTTCAACTCAGCTGGTTCACGTGCAAAAGAGTCTATAAAAAACATACGGTCCAGGTTACACAAACTTTGAGTTTTATAGATATATAGATGTCATTCATAGAGCAGAGGATAGTAAGTGAGGCTCGCAGTCAATAGAGTAAAGTTCAATCTTGCTCAAGCGAATATGTCATTCATAGTGCAGCGAACTTTGATGTGTTGTCTCTTACGACGTTGTCTCGCTAACAATTTAATATGTCATTCATAGTGCAGCGGATAGTGAGTGAGGTTCGTTCAATAGAGTAAGGTTCAATCTTACTTGAGTGTTCTCTTTCGCTGTTGTAGTTTGCATTTTCGGAACTTCCGCAGCAACTCATTTCGGACCGCAGCACATTTATGGAACTCCCACAGGTGACTCGGCGGAACTTTCCCGAACATTCTGCGGAAGTTGCGTCAGTTGTCTGAGTAGATAAAACTAAATTGTCAGTTTGGAGGATATGAACGTCATAAAAACGAGCACCGCTCAACCAATTGAATTAGAACTTTGCACACACATGTTTTGACCCCTGCGGAGACTAAAGGCTACTTTTTGTGGCGGATTTACTTGTACCCTTCTATCGATATTATTAGTTTTTGTTTTCTGAAAAAACGAAGACTTATCATGTTTAAGCGAATATTTTAACATAGCCATGAAGCGGGGGGCAGAGCCTCGCTCCCTCGACGCAGTGTCTCTCTCGCGAACTTGCTCTCTATAGCTTTAATAAGGTGGAAGCCCCGCTTTCCAGCCGCCAATCCCTTTGATGCAAAGGTTATATAAATCCATGACTCAATCAATTTCTCCAACTGCCGCTTTACGCCACATGGCAAACTCCCTCTTATTCCCAATTTCTGCTCCTAAAGAAGTTTCAGAG